CTTAAACAGTAAACTTGACAAGCCAGTCCCAAATATATGTTGACATTGAGCAGTCTTAGTGCGGTATGAGATTTGGTATGAACGTTATAACTTCCTGCCTAACTGGGTTAACATTTGCTTGTCAGACATTCAAGTGGCAGACACGTTTTCAATCCAAATGCCTTTAAACTGACAGCGTTCATTAGTCAATGGTAAAAATGAGACGGATTTGTCTGTTTATGCTTTAAACTAGGTGATAGCCGGGTGTTGTTTTGTACTATGCAGTCAGTTCCAATGTTAAACGTCAAAATTAGTGTCAGATGAACCTCCTGTACAGTTTCAAATCGTGTGCTTTGGTATAAAGCCCATTAACTTGTTTAACCAGAAGAAATTCCAGATGTTGTTGCGAACTATAATAATTTCGTCACTGAGGGTAGAAATAATGCCGAGAGGGCATTCATCGTTGATATACCGCCAATCTCTTAAGCACGTACCTAGACATACCCTCACAAAAAATTGATTCACATTTCGTGACGAAAATTTGACCATCGCTTACGACGACGTCAATCGCATGCCGCGCGGAGTGGGTGTAATACCGGCAACTGAGGATGAATAAGTTTAAAATGGGCAAACTTGTGCAGCATCTACTACACTTTCTCTCCCTCCACACAATATGCTTCGAAGGCAAGACGATGCAAACAGGACCGCCTTGGGACACAGGTACGGCGAATGTAACGCCAACAAAAGAGATGAGAAAACCTATCAAATAAGCACTGTGGAATTGAATTGCTTAACGGTAAAAGCAATGTCGTCGAATGCAGAACAAAAAGGGGATAGAAAAATTGTGCAATCTAACCTTTAACAGGTGGATATTTTGAGTTAGCTGTTAACTTACAGCTAAAATGATGTGGTAGTTTGACAGACATGAGGCGGTAGAATCTGTAAGATAGATTGATACAGCACTGTTTCAGGCCTGTTTGCCTTTATTCAGTTAGTCATAACCCTGACCATCAGCTTGGACCGGAAACACAAACATGCGCTCACACATCTGACTCAGCTGCTCGACCACGGGAGTCTACCAGATGGGTCATATGCAATTCATCAAACCAAAGTTCATCACTGTCTCGTAACTTGCCATTATCTGTGGCTGGAGATCGGGTATTTATTCAAAGGTAGGGGGTGCTCACCGATCGTTCTTACGGAACTCACTGGTTCCGTTGTGCCTTATGAACTATCTCTCTCAAGCTCAACCAGCAGCCGCTCAGTGGCGCATGATATAGGCAGAATTACATTACCGACAAAGACAAGGGAGACTGGAATGGCCATTCCTGGCTTATTAGCCGTCGTCTGTCATTCATACCCAACCCAGAAGTGTGACACACCCGAGGCTCGAACTCGCGACCTGTTTGATAGAAATGCACGCCTCTAACGCCTGAGCCACGAGCCCGTTGCCCTGTCGGTTTTCGATTGGGATTATACAATGGTGGGGAGCGCTCACCGATTGTATATTCCCAATCAAAAGCCGGCAAGGCAACGGGATCGTGAGTCAGTGTTTAGAGGCGTGGACTTCTAACGAACAGGTCGCAAGTTCAAACCTCGGGTGTGCCACATTTCGGGATTGGGTATGACTGGCTGACGACAGCTAATATGCCAGAAATGGCCATTCCAGTCTACCCGGTCTTTTTCGGTATTTATTCATTCAGGAATGGGCGTACACTGATCCGCTGGCTTCACGAAGATCACAAACAGTCAACCAACTACCAGGCGGAAGTCGACCTAGCTATGATAGCAGAGAGGATGCTTGTCTTCTGCGGGAAGCCAATGGATCTGTGTGTGCCCATTCCTGAGTGGTAGTTTAACTATCTTCCAATAACGATGTGCGTACCCTTATGAAACCCCTTCGTTTGTTACTTCATCTATCTGTGTGTGGGGAGGGCCTCCGTTCCGGACATTCTTCTTCAAACGTTGACTCCAAACTTTAGTATATTCACTCGGTTCGACCTCCGCACATCTGAGGCATTCCGAAAAACATTCCGTTGCTTATTCATTAACTGAAGAATATGTCAGCCTCGGACCCACATGAGGTCTAGACAAGCAACTAGGTAATAAGACATCATTTGTGGTGGAGTGTCTCTGCCAATCATCGAGCAGTCACCTTAGGTCAACTACCTTGGATCTTAATGGGGAAGCCCGAAATCGAACTATATTTCCGAGCCTTAGTTCTTAAGAGAACACTTCTCGGTTTGTGTTGGTGGCTGGCACATACAGTTAGTGATCTAACTCATGAAATGTGTCGAAAGTTACGAATGATTTCCAATCACTCGCAAACCGACATCATTTCATGAGTCCGACTTCTATGTTAATTAAGTACAAGTTTAAGAGAATTAAAAACATAAGAGAAATACTAAAGACAGGATTGCGTTGTTTAGAAATGCCGATTTATTTTGAAAAGTGCAGTATCCCGAGAACGTCAGAAATGGCTCTAATTAAGTAAAGTTTGTTTTTAGATATATAGTATGTATTCTAATACCAAAAGCGTAGCAGATATGAAAGTAGACAAAAATAACGTCTAAATAAATAGAATAATCTCATATTTGTCCATAAGGGGCAAGCAAATCATTCTTGTAAGTGATGGCACTGATAAAGCGGATTTTATAAACATGAATTATGTCGATATAGATTAATGGCAGATTTAAATCGCTTGGCCGTTTTATGAGCGCAAGTATACTAACAAACATTTTTTGTGGCAGCAAACGTGTGCTAAAAAACGCTTTGTAGAAGGCATTTATGACGTTCTGAATCTCTAGAGGAAATAGCACTCACTGAGTACTGCATGAACAGGCCGCTTTTTAGGCGGAAGAACTCTGCCCCATGTTGTGGCGCAGTACTGCATTTGTACATAGACCAGTCTCTTGGATCTATTGACTAAGCCCCTAGTGCAGCTAATGACAACGAGTGGTTTGTCATTTGAGTCTGGCGCGTGTGTCACTCAACTTAAATCCCTTTGTTGACTTTAAAATCTCCCAACTAATCATTCCACATCTGATCCCTTCAGTTATGCTGGGGTTCCCATAAAAATCCCAGGCACGTCTCATGGTAAGCTCTGTCTCTTTTGGCTGTCAGGATTTCGGCTGGACAATTCAGCTACCTCACTTAACTTGCTGGTAGTACCCATCTGTGCGAATTATTATGCACATAAGTTTGCGTGCCAATTCCGATTCGTTGGCTCCACCTCTCAATGGTGTTCTATCCAGCTGTAATTAGCATAACACTGAGGGGTAGTTAACGTCAGTAGGCCGTGGCGCATATAAGAACGACAAAAGCGAACACCAGACCGGGTTGTTTGCGACCGCCCACAAGTGCATCATGTTGCGGCCAAATTGGCTTCCGAGGGCTCTGCTTCCCCTACTCCTCCTCTCCCTGGCTCTAAACGCTCCAACAGGACTAGGAGGTCCGACGAAGAACCAGGAGGGTGACCTGCGCCTGGAGGACGGTGACACCTTCGGATCGGGCACTGTAGCAGTTTTTCGTGGGTTCGTCTGGGGCCGTGTCTGTGACGATCACTGGACCATTAAGGAAGCCAACGTCGTCTGTCGTCAACTGGGCTACGGACATGCTGTGCGTGCATTGAAGAGGAACCACTTTCACTCAAGATCAAGTCGTAAGTTCAGGATCCCTAGATGAATTAAAAAGGCAGTAGGAGTTGGGACGAAATCCTCTACTTATAAACATGACACTTTGTTTTTGTGTCTACTTTGGTAGTAACACATTTTTAATAGGGAGGCTTTTATGACCTGCGGGCAGATGGCATCGTAGCAGTTATATTCGCGTTCTGATAAAGTCAGATTCAAAGGTTTATTTTTAATTTCATTCGGAACGCATAGAAGGAGTTGTCCTGGGTGTTCCAAAACATCTTTTCAGACTAGTGAGTCTCACCTCTGCCTTTGTTCTGATTCAAAATTCAGCAGTCATTTCCAAAGCATTCGACTGAGCGTGACTCAAGCATTTCACAGGTTTGGCATAACTTATTTTGCTGAGCCCTTGTTTTGAAAATAGGGATTGTCTGAAGTAAAACAATAAGTACTGAATGCTTCAGATCAAAAGGACTTTAGAGACGATTAGCAATTCTTTGAAAATTTAGTAGGAATATTCAGGTCGTGTTGCCTCCGTTTATAATTATTAAGGCATTTTTCACAACCGCAGATTAAATTGAAAGTGAACGAGAGGTGTTAGCAGTGAGTCAATGACACGTTTATTTGGATTCTCGCACTTTAGAATTTATTGCTCGTACCCAGCTAGAGTTACCTGCACGCATTCAGCACTGTTTTCATAAGCTTATTGAGCCCCAGTCTCTATTAAAAGTGACATAAAAAGGATTTTTTGAAATAGTGCTTACCTAGTAGGCTGAAGCTGTGGATAAATAGTCCCTCTTATGAATGTCCCTTTCCTTCACGCACTCACACCGAAACGGCAGTTAAACAAGAGAGCGCACTTAACATTACGTCCCAGTAGCAAGTACTGCGGCTGCAACCTCAACAATAATTCTCGCATAATCAGGCCACATGTTATAGCTTAACCGTAAAATTGTGCCATCCAGCCAAACAGCTTAAAAAATGAGATAAGGTCTTATTCAGGGTATAATTATATGTATCTTTTCTTGTGTGGTCGACTTCAATAGTTCTCTTTTTCGTACAGGTTCAGATTTCGGAAAGCGTAGATGTTTTTTCGATAGAGCGTTAAGTACACTAACTTTGTGCCCCAGCGTGCTGCACTTAGACATAACTGAATTTGCTTTTTGAAAGTTCATATTCGAAATACTCTTCTATGACGAATAGGAAACTCCTTACCCTCTTTCGCCAAAATTACTTACCGCTTTGTTGCCATTTTATTTATTCGAGCAAGTACACGTTCATGCAAATCATTATTTTTATGCATAGCCATGTTTTCCGCTCATACAAATCCGCACTAAGATGAAATTATCGCCCTTCTTACTGTTCAACCGTAAATTCGAAGACTGATGTCTTGCGTGGTAGATTTCTGGCGACAAAAGTCCAGCAATACTACATGGAATAACTTGTCTCCCCTCGAAAGTTTAACTTTCCCACTTTTATAAGTTGGCGCTGTCAGAATCACCTAATTTTTAAAACGCAGCAGAAATTATATCTCCAGTTAAAATGTGCTTTGTGCTTTCTTTTGCCTCTTTCTTAGAACACCAAAGATCTTATGGAATGCTTGCGATTGCACAGAAGTACGGGGTTTAATGTTGGTTGAAGGGTTTTCATAATTTTAGACGTATACAGCATGAATTTTTGGGGGTTACGTGATCGCAAATACAAAAGAAGGACTGTTTATCTCTCCTGAATATTTTAGTCAACATAATTTGCTGGACACGAGTGATAATGTGAGTTAGAGGTGCAAGTTGGGCAGGTGACCTTGTCACTGGAAAAAAAAAAGTTTTATTCGAAAATATATCCAAAACGTCAGGTAAATAAAACTATTTTTCCCGCGGACCGAGTCTTCATTTTCCTAAGTATTTGCTAGCTCAGCACCGCGTCTCCAGCGATATCCAGTTGTCTTCACAACTTTTCAGTACATGTTTGCCTTGCCATTAGTGAAAATTACATAGAGATCATCGCCGTCTCACAGACAGTGGTGGTCTCTGTCTCTTGAAGCTGGCAAACCTGTTTCGGGACACACGATCACTTCAGAACGTTAGAATAAAATCAGAACTTCCTCATGCATATATTCCTCAAAGCAGTTACAGTAGAGCAAAATACGGAAGATTATTGGAGCAATTTTAAACCGGTTTATGCGCAGATTCTTGTATGGTAGGTTGGTTTATTAGCATTGTTATTTCACAAGTGAATTAGAGGAAGTAATAGGATGCATCCAGAAATGTTCTTTCACTGTATCAAGCACTGTCATATTGTAAATATTAAATTGAATGATACTAGTAATTACTTGCGAAAAAATGCAAGGCAACAATTCTAAGAGTTCAAGTACCACCTTGCACTACTGTTTGTTTTGGTGAGAACTTCGTCGTCTCGCTTGCAAATTCCGAACAGACCGAAAGTGTCAGAACACTGTCCATTGTGTAATTATTTACCGTACTAACAACACAGGTATCAGCTAAATGCCCAGACACGCGTGTTTAACCGATCTTGTGCCGATGCCTGAGGCAGCTGCGAAAGGTTCGACTCGTCAGTGGGTTCATTCGCTTTCCCCGTGTATTTTCTGGTATGTGAACTTCAGTTTCAACTTGCCTTTTTTAAGTTCCGAAGAAATCAATGCGCCAGCTTGGAATAAATCTTTCGGATAAGACCATTTTATCAGAGTTGGCGCATTAATTTCCTCGGAAATTACACAAGGCAAGTTGAAACTGGAGTTTACATACTAGAAAGTACACGGGGAAAGCGGAGGGATCTACTGACGATCCGAAATCCTCGCAGTTGCGTCAGGCAGCGGCACAAGATCGGCGAAACACGTGTCTCTGGGCTTTTAGCTAATACCTATATTGTTATTACGGTAAATAATTACACAACTCTATACTGCTGGCTGTCTGTTGGTGGTTTGTGAATATTACGCGGTTATTCCGCAGTAGCTGATGGATTTCAGCTTAAATATTAATATCGAATTTCGGCCCGTGCCTGGAAAGGTCTGTTCCGAAAAATTTACTCCAAGTTCGCGCATTAATTACCTCGGAAACTAAACAAGGCACACTGTTCATTGTTTCGCAAAATGTCAATGTTAATGTAGATCTTAATTGCATAGAAGAATTCGAAGATGCTTGCCCATGTTCCCACCCGGGAATATGTTTGGCAGCTCTCGGTTAACTGTTTGAATAAAGAAACGATGTTCCATATAACCCTTCGAAATGTGACACATGAGCATTCTCTGCGTGTTAAGAAATGTTTAGGGACACACAGCGAGCCTTTTAGGAAGCTCAGTTGTCGACTGCCCTTTGCACTTATACTATCGAAGAATGTTGGCAGACGCAAAATAACACACCAAAAATCAATCGCTGAGTGGCAGCTCAGGGAACGAAGTGTTTTTTGTCGATCTCTGTTTTTTTTTAAAAAACTCGTTTGTCTTTCGTCTATACAGAAGACTTATGGAAATACTGTGCTTTTCGTTTAACATTACGTACCTCATGAAGTTGACAAATGATAATCACATAGAATACAAACATAAATTTGTATAGCTTTGGGCAGTCGATCTGATATGGTCATTAACCAATGTATCAAAGATTAAGTTCAAACCAGTAGAAACCCTGTCAAGTTCCTGACATATCTGTGCAACCCTCGTCAGTTTGTATGCAACAGTTTTACGTGGGCTGTAGTACTAGCTCGGCTAAGAATAGATTTTCCGGACATATGAGGAGATAAGTTCGGTAGTTTTTAATATGATATGTATGACATGACTTGCAGGACCTTGCAGCGGTTCTAAATAGTTATGCTGATTTGTCGTCACTTTATCATATCTGAGCCATTCTCCGCGATTCAGTGCAAAACATTTCCCTTTTCGACGGAAAATACTTTTATGGTTTGGAAAATTGGAAATGTGCTGTACAACAGTCGGTCATATAATCGAAACTTCACTACGGACTGCGTAGCAAATAACGTACACGCATGTTAAGCAATTTTTAAAAGGAAATATGCAAAATGTCTGCTTTAAATATTGAACCATCTCCACTTAGTGCAAGGCACGAAAGATAACTCTAGGTCGTACCATTTGCAAGGTGACGGACTGCTGACTATTGTCCAAAGGAATTTAAATCATGTAATATTCCTTTTCCTAGAGGAGTGCGTTTGTCCTCTGCGATAATTGTTTGGCCCTTATCTAGGTAGATGTGATAGCGGCACCTGCTTAAAACTTCACGCTAAAAATTTCATGCGCAGCGAACCTTTTGACAAAAAATTGCATGATATCTAACTTCCGATTGAACAGAACATTTGCCTTACTAGAAATAAAATTTTGGATGTTTGCTTTTCTAATCGTTAAATTCATGATAAATAAGACACTCATTGATTTTGTTTGGTTGGGAGCGAACAATCAGAATCGCAGTGTGTCTACTGTAACGTCGCCCATCAGTTCACGCAAACCTGCTAAGAGTTTACGGCCAGGACACATCTGTTGTCTGGTAGACAGAAACAGTCCTCTAAAGAGAAGGTCGTACTTATTTCCTTGACCTAGAAGAACATTTTTATTGCGCCAACTTGATTGACGTCGGACAAAATCGTTTGGCGGCAGCATCATGGCTGCCTCAATGAGGAACCGTTCTTTTGTTTGCGTCCACTTTTTAGCGCAAACAACGGGGGAACTTTAGATGGCTGGTTACGCACCAAATTCGAGCACAGACGCTGCGTGGGACGAAAAGCAAATTTTTCAGGACAGTCGTTTGCTCATTTGGCTAATGCTCCACGTTTTTCACCGGAATCTCGCTTTGCTTTCTGTAGTCTTAGAAGCATATAGCCCATTTTCGAGGCGATTGTTTGGATATGCCCGAGAGGTGCATTAAGTTTTCTCTTAACGTTTTACTTTTAACTATTTAACTAGACTGTTTGGTTCTTTCTCAGGCTATAAATGCTGTGAAATGGGTTAGTTGGTCGTCCTTGCCAGCACAGCCGCCACTACTCTAATAAAAATATGGGGAATAAAAAACATGTGAACTGAAACTTAAGCAGGGAATAGGCATGATGTATTGGCTTTGCTGGCAGTGGATATCTATCTAAAATTTCCCTGCATTCGGTCCACATTTTGATAACCCTAAGCATAATGTTCCTTTCAGAACGATACCCAGATGCCGCACAGTCTTTGTGTAAATAACGACGACGGTAGTAAATCAAAAGCGTTTTACAAGATAAGCAAAGCTCATTATCTGTCAATAGCTGCCTAGTTTTCAAATTTTGCTCTTGGAAACGAGCCGTTTTGTTGGACCAAACGCCTGAACCGATATTTGCAAAGGAAAACAAAAAAGACCTTCCCAACTGATCCAAGTGATTTGGAGTTTTCGGTTTTTTAAGAGCAATGCTCCCGTTCAGAAACTCATTTGTTTCAAAATGATCCTCGTGAAAGGAAAGGATGTCTGCATATGTTAAAACAAGTTAGCAAACACGAGTATATTGCTCAAGTTCCGCGCTCCCTCGAGAAAATAATTTGGTTTCCTTCCGCGCCAGAGTGATGAGAAGTACTAATTTCGGGGAGCCTGTGAGCCACTCAGACGAATGAAGGGAGGGTTGGTGTCTAACACATGTTCACACTCTTGCAAGAAAAACAACGTATTCTAGTTTTTAGGCGCAGATCTGAGAGTATTTTTGCGTCCAGTGTGGGTTTACATATGTGCTAAATAGCGCGGAAGTGAGCTTAGGCAATGCAGTTTGCATGGGATTTTCAATAACAAAGTCCTCACCTGTGTTGTTACTATAGGCACTCTGCAATTGACGGTGGTATTCCAGTAAAGGTTAAGTTATTAAAGTAGCTAATTTTAATTTATTTGGCGGTCCGATGACCTTTTCGTAAGTCTAGCCGGCTGAGAACATGAGCTATAAAGGAATCAAGAGCGCAAGGTTTGCCTAACCGAAATAATTGCAAAGTCGGCTGTTTTGCGTTTACAGCACCAGTATAATATTACTCCCATCCTATTTTTCTTTGCCGATTTAAAATACTAGGGTCATCACTACATACCGTCAAGTAATCATTTCAGTTGGGAACGCCAGAAATTCGCTCCTCAATAGCTGATTGACCTGAGCACGGAAAGAAGGAATTGCCGAGCTTCTACCTGTTTGTGATAGAAAGGTCAGAACAGCCTTAATAATTTGCTTTTCCTTGGGATTCATGTGAATATCTTCTCCTCATTCTATGGAGATGCTGCATTTTTATGAAGCAGCAGTTTCTAAACTGCATTTTGGCAGTCCAGTATTCTCCCGTAGTCAGTTTGCTATCGAATCAGTCGTAGCAATAAAAGGCTGTTTACCATTTATAGACCTTAGAACGTGGCAGTTAACGCGGAGTTCGAAAATACTTTGAATTACTAAAATAAATTCAAGTCCATGTTCCGCCATATTGAAAGATAGATAATCCGTTACTTTCTCCACCATTCCAATAGTTTTGTTGGTATTCTTCCGTATAACAACTCGTACTAGATACATGAATGCTGCATTTTTCAGTAAAGAATATAGTTCTCCGGAATTTAATGCAGAGCAATGATTGTATTTACAAACCCGACCGTCCTTATTTTTTGTACTCCTTTTGCTAAATGAGCTTCCTAGCATGAGAACGAACTGTCGTCCTGAAAAGGAAAATCGATGCCGTTCGTTTAGTCTAATTAGGTTATTTGCTTAGTACATCATTGGCAACAGTGACATTTATCTTTAGTAATTGGCCAATGGTTTGTTTAAGTTAACCGTGTTCTGTGACTTAGAAACCCAACACTGGATTATAAGTCACTATACATAAAAGATCCAAGAGCGTACTTGCGGAAGATGTTACTTTGAACAACTATCTTATTTTCTCTACGCAAGACAATTTTTCCTCGTTGGCAAAGTACTTCCGACAGAGGAAACTTACTTTAACGTCGAGGTTATAACACCCATCTCTCTCCCAATTAAGCTAGCTGGTTTCAGCATGTTTTACTCAGGCTCCAGAAAGTCGTATTTTTTTCTTTACATGGGAACCTTAACATAAGTTCACTGCCAATAACGCTCTAAAAAGCAAACCAATTTTAGGTCGATTTTAATAATGATAGTAAAAGTAATAATGTAGACAAGTATGTATTTCGGTCTAAAATAGGTCGAAAATATCGTCTGGTCTACTGAATACTATGGATGACGAAAATGTTATGCATTGTGATGAAAAGCTCCTCGTAAACCTGACGAAGGTAGTCAGTCCGACGCGTTAACAATTAGATACCAACAAGTCTGTTGTACGTAGAGAAAACAGGTAGCCGCACTTGTTGTATTCATACTGTGCTAAACCTGCCTGGTGACGCACTGTTATTCATTTGAGAGTTGAGCAAACGGCTGTCACCTGTAAAGTTGTAATTTTAATCGAACCATCAGACATACGGACTGATTTTTAGACATCCTCGGTCTTCCCCTCCAGGTTTCTATTTTATGGACAACGTATATTGCAACGGTACTGAGACGCGTCTCGTCGACTGCCGCTTTGACGGATGGGCTCGGCATGACTGCAGTTATGGCGAGGATGCAGGAGTTCAGTGCGCCCAGTTGACTCCTCCGAAGGAGAAGAAATCCTGGAACCCACTGAAACTTAGGTATAGCGAAGAAGTACTAAATGCGATGCGAAAGGCAAGTTTAGACCCCTCGAAATTTGAAAATCCCAGTTTTCTGTAATGAAGGACCTCTTTTTCAATTTCGATCTTTTTTATACGTGCACGGTCAATGGCAAATTGATCTTATACTCTGTCCCGCAGTCAAGATACACCCATAAGCAGATTAAGTTTCAAGCTAAGCATAAACTGGTAGAAAAACAAAATCCATGCTTGACTGAATTGGCCGGAAAAATTTGCTTTTTAAAAACAGCATAACTCCCAACAATTTTGTCCAAGACGTTACTTATTAACATTTACAATTTACTATTTCAATCTGCCTAATTTAGGTACCATTTACACTGGAGTCGGCCGCGGCTCATGGGTGGGTTTTTCGGCCTCTCGAATATGTTCGTTCAATAGAGGAGAAGCCAGTTGCTCGTGTTCTCATTGTAAATCCACACTCCAACGAGCGGCTGTCGGGTGGGGTTTGTCCCGACTACTTCACCACTATTGAAGCCATCGTCGCCTGCAAACAAATTAATCACGGCATTGGAGGAAAAGTCATTGAGGTAATCAACTTGTGCTCATCCTACGGTCGCAATAAAAGGCATTGAGAAAATAAATTTTATTCTCGAATTTTTTAGCATGCATCTGTCTTTTGTCCCCTAACGTGTCCATCTCCCTTAACACCATTGCCGAAATTCACGATTGAAACTCTGTGAGCACCCAGTCGTCTAAGTAACTTCATTCCTCCTTTCATACCAAACCTGCAAAGCTCTTCCAATTTGTGCCTTCTGTTGCACAGGCGTATCATGTGCGCGGTTGATGTTTTATGTACGTTAGGAGCCAAAAACATAGTTAGCCCTAACATGTGCTTAAACGTTAGAGACAAAAAACTGCCTCCTAAAACGCTCATCTGAACTTCTCATTCAAAGTTGGCCAGATTATCGTTGTTTTTCTCTGACTAGTAGAAGTAGCAAGTCGCCTTCATCGAGATTCCCTTCATTCTCAGTCTGTGCGGCATAATTTTGGTGACCTAGTATAAAAGATTGGTTTACTTTGGCGTTGATCTCACAACCGATGGCAATAAGTACTGATTCTGCTACTATATCGCTGGAGGTTGCCATAAGCTTGAATAAATGTACTGCGATTTGTCTCTCAGTCTCAGAGTGAACATAAACCCACTACCTGTAAAACTTCGAAGTCACGCCTTTTAGGGTGTTGCGATTGACCAAAAACACGTTAAATGAATTATAGTGATTAAAAATTGTCACTTAGTGCAGATGATCCTCACGCTCTCCTTCTTCTCCTTGTCTACACTGTTGGCATGATTAAATCATGTGTTTGCTGTTTAATAATGACTGATCAGCGACTTCATTTCCTCCTCTATCGCCCGCTACAGACGGATTGTTTCGCCAAATCAAACCAACCGGACTTCGTTCGAACCCCTGCTCAAAAACAGAGCGCTTGGCCCCGTTTAAAGTCAAACGCTCCCTGACGCGTACCTAGGAAGAGGGCTCCTACATTTCCATAGAGTTGTTATCAGTGTATAAGAGTGGCAAATATCTGCCCGTGAGGTGGCGGGCTGTGACAAAAAAAAACATTTTTTTCTCTCGACGTAGAGACAGTAGCCCCCTGACTTACCTGGATTGTTCCTCCCTGAGTCTGACGGCCCAAGAAGAACGCTCAAGCGTATGTTATCGTTCAAAGTAACCCGCCTGCAAGATAAATAACTTTCAATTCTGCTACAGGCTGTAAAAGGGAGCTAGTTTGATCATACTACAACACAGCGCGCCGCAGAAAACGAACAGAAATTGACAGCATTAACCTCTTCCTTCTATGCTTAGACCACACCAGTACGCTTAAAACCCCCTCCATCAAACTTAGCATTCGGGGAAGTCTCAAGATTATCCGGCTGATTTGACATTAAAGACATTAACCCGAGCAGCTGGCCGAAGTTAGTAAACGACATTTCCCTACTGAAGAACAGTGAAAAGAGGAGCGCGCCTTTTGTCTGCTTGCAACACAGAACATGCTACAAATGTTTCCTGACAAAGAAATACTCTAGCAAAAGGCTAACATAGGCGCGTCGGTGAAGCGCCTGTGTGGAGGTCTATTTCAACCAAATATTCACCGAAGATGGTCGGTCCTATGCATCTTATCACCAGAAGAACCTTCGGCTGACACCTCCTCCTGAGAAAAACATTGTCCAATTTAATATGCTCTGATGTCGCATTAAGATGAATTCAGGATGTTTATAAGGTTTTATAATACCTCTCGTAAACATGGACCATAGTTAATATTCCTGATCACGATCGACGGGATAACGGGCCCGAGGCTCGAGGGTCGAGTGCTGAATAACGCTCAATGACCAGAGGATCGGGGTTTGTGAAGGGCTAGCTGGTAACAGTTTATGAACCGCCAACTTTCATAGATAATCGGCTGACAAACAATATTTTCCGATTTGTCTTCATCAGGTCAATGCATTGACAGTTTTTCAAAAGTTGAAATGTTATTAATGTTTATCTTTGCTAGGTACCAATGCACGAGGACCTAACATCGACAGGACGCAACGTGGCGATAATAGGACGTTGTTATGGGAACGAGACTGATTTGAGTCAGTGCCTTTCGTACATTGATGTGAGCGGAGTTCAGTGTCAATCAAACAAAACTGTGGCAATCGAATGCAAAAGCAGTAAGTTCTCGTACATTCTGAACTGAATTGATGAATTGACTTGAGGCAGGTGTTTGTAGGTGTTCCACAAGCTTATTCAAATCACACCTGTCAGCATGTCATTTATGGGAATCCGTGAACAAAACAGTTTGCTCATTGTCGCAGAGGAGTCAGGTGATTACGATCGTATACTAATTCTCTTGTGATGAAACTGACTGTCTGAGAGGCTTTGAAACCTTCGAATATTATAATGACTTTTAGAGTGTAACCTTGCCGTGGAGAGTAGATACGTCCCCCTTAACCTGGACAGGTTTGGCTGTATGTCAACTACAGACGCGGAGCACTCACTCCCCGCGATGTTGAGCACAGACATACTTGTAGAGATAGTCGCTTGATTCAAATAGACAACAGCGTGGTTTGATTTTTGATTGATCGTTCGGATTATTCGTGACTCCTGACAATTGAAAGTGCTAAAGCACTCGTTTTGACTGTGTACTGGTCTTTCAGAGTAACAATATCTCAATGTCTTTTACTGCCTAGCATTACCGGATCTGCAACCGGACGTGGAGGCAATGAGACGATCAGTCTACTTGCAGAGGCGAACCCTTTGGCAACTAGAGTGTGCGCTTGAAGAGAACTGTTTCCCAAATACCGTGTACACCTTCATTGCGAACAATCCGAGTATGTTGCTCACATTATTTTCTTGTTCTACGAATCCCCACATGTTATTTGAAAAGCTTTATTTAAATAGATAGGATGAACTGCGTTTTCGAAACTTCCAAAAGACTTTATCTTCTGGCAAGAAATTCACGCTCTAGAACATTATACATCAGTATTAGTTTCAACAATCAGATATGTAAATTCGAGAAGAGATTTTCGGAATGCACCGCTACAATGCACACTTAAGCAGGATCGCGAATATTTCCAAATGAGACAATGGACTAAATACTGCCTCCACCACTTTGCCAAGATTGTGGAACAAATTACATAACAAAATGCAATTTGATGCGGCCATAGCGTTTTCTTAACATTTTCATACATTTCAGCGCGATACCAGTGGGCAAGGAGAACCCTGCTTCGCTTCACCTCGATCACAAAGAATGTTGGAACAGCGCCGTTCTTGCCTAATCTAATTCCAGACCACTGGGAGTGGCACCCATGCCATGCGTGCGTCAATATTTATATTCTTATATTCCTGTCGTTTACTTTGCAAGAAAACGTTAGCAGATTTGACCTCTCGCTAAGCTGCATACTGTCAATGTATAGTTGCCAAAATCAGTTCGCGGCAGGCAGAAGCAAATGGGGAATGTGAGTGTGGTAACTTAGCAAGCAGATCAATTGGATCATGACGGGCTTGGTGAAACTGAGGGAACTGGTGTTAATCAACACATCTTCAGCACCAGGACAGCGCTTGTGAAATCCTGGCTTTCGCTTCATTATCGCAATAACCTCACAGTCGCATAGGATGTCTGCGGCTCTTGCGCACGCGGGAACAAAAGGTACTGGAGAGATGAGACTGAAAAACCCCGGAGGTCGCACAGAAAATTAAAGTCGTAGACAAAGTGACAGCTGTCTGAATTTGCCAAATGACCCATGTGTTCTTAGATGCTATAGGCTATCGAAAACCTACAGAACAGGCATGTCACTGGCCTACTTTACCAGTGAATGCCCACAATAGAAGCTCGCATAGTGGCTAGTGAAATAATGGAAGACATATGTTGAACAACGGCCTAATGGATCTTACCCCACTAACCAAACCAACTTTTTCAGTATACATTCAGAACATCTCCTAAAGTGTGCTACTGGAAAACGTCGTCGAAATATCATATGACCATACACCTGTAACCGACATAGAGCGGTCTAGTGAGCTAATAAAATTGAACAGCAAGAACATTCAACTGCTTGTTAATGACAATTTAGTGAGCAGATTTGTTGTGTAAATATCGCTATTTCGTTAGCTCCGGTTTTGGCAGCTACTTCTACGTTCAAGTATCAGGAGGAAATAGTCTGGAATTTTAAATAAATCCATATTTTGTAGGTGATTTCGGACGACATCTTCACTTCGGTGGATGGTAGAAGCAATGGGTTATTGTTATGAACGAACTGTATTAAATTGTTGGATTCGTGATTGAACACGAAAAAATACAAGTCGACTTTCTTTGGGGTAGCATGGCGCATAGGGAACTATAACCATAACCGGAGATCTAGCCATCGGAAGGTAAAATGAAAAGTACAGCACACCTAATTCCTGAGCTGTAGTTCACATCACGTCAGCAAATTTGTTCTGTTGAGTCTTCGGAAGACAACTTCAAGCTCTTCAAAAGCATCAGCCTTACAGTCCATGCCCCTCAGGAATTCATTTAAGTGTTGCTACGCCAGAAATGTAAAAGCAGTGAAACTTCCAGTCACAAAGAAATTGGACAAAGTTCTTAAAACAATTAAAAAGCTATGCTGTGGCGCAGTTACTGGACATACAGGGCTGTCAACTTTATATTCATTGGCCCTTTAATGACCATCTTGGCCACAACACGTAAAAACACTCGCCTATGCGCACCGCTCCTGCGTTTGGCAACTTATTTGTAGTTGTAAATGCAAATATATCAGGCGCGCGCAAGGACAACAGCGCGACCGGCTGGGTGCCTGTCAGGTTAGCTGTTAAAGATTGAAATGACAGTGTACAGAAACTCAGTGATAAGGCACAGAGTGGACATTGATCACGTTGTTGGCCCAACGTTTGTACTTATAATCATTCTAGGAGCACTGGCGGCGTGTTCTCTACGCCACTTTGAGGGTAGGATAAGAAGAGGAGGGACACAGGTTTGCAAGCGCCTGGGTCACGTCGTTAAGCTCTCACGCGTAAACAGAACGTGTTAATTAATCCTCCTCCCCTCACCATCATCAAACCCGTCCCTATGACAGTTAATTTAATAGTCATTTCGTCAAGCTTGCATGCCCTATACGCGTTCTGCGAATCACATTCCAACTGCATAGAAGCGATGTTCATCTGGGCTAAATAGCCCGAGGCTTGATTGTACCACTAAATGTGCTCCGCTTACTGCCTTCACCCTGTCCAAATTTCACCGGAGATGAAATGTCACAAGAGAGAATGTAACACTATCAATCTCGTAATAATAGACGTACCCGGTCAGTAACCATACCACGTAGAAGTCACCGGTTCTCGTCTGATCACCAAAGTTAAGCTACGTTGGACCCGGTAAGTATTTGCATGGGTGACTGGCTGGGAATATCGGGTGTTGCTGGCATCGCTCTTTCGGCCTAAAGGTCTGTAAATGTCTGCCATGCCAGGATCAGCAAACCGTGACCCTCGCTGCCTGGCATGCGCTGGAAGTTCTCTAGCACCTGATCCCCTGCCAGTAGACGCGCTTGCGCTGCCGCTGGCTATATGGGTCGTGAGCATAGCTGCCCGGTCATTTTCCTCCTTCTGACCCATTGTCGTGTTGTTGTTGTTGTTGTTGTCGTCGTCGTTGTTGATTTAAATCATGGACGATTGTTGTGTGGACCAGGGGGTGTGGAGCGGAGCTCCAAGGTGCGGGCTCGCCCGCGCTATCCACCTGCATCCTCCCCGCCTCGGGTATTGACTCTGTATTGACACTGGGCTCAGGTGGAGGAGGAAAATAGAAAGTGAGGTAGATGCTGTGCAAGTATAAATTTACTATAAACTTGATCACACGCAAGCCACCGTGCCTTGCTGTGGAGTGCGCGGTGGACACCAGTGGATGCGATGGCCGAACTGTCAGAAGTACACGGCCCAGCCGCCGGATGTTTCAGAAAACTAAACCGTTTGACTGGCAAAGGATACTTACAACGTAAACCTGAATTATTATTACTGACTATGCTACGTTAGTGGGTAAGTTGACAAATATTATTTTTCATCCGGTTCTATTTCAACGAAACAGACTCAAAATTAAAAGTTGGTGTACACTATAGTGACAGTTTTGTAATATAGTAGGTCTCTTCCAAAACGTTTCTCCTCCCAATCTGTAAATAAGCCCCAGTGTGCTTTTCGATAACTAGGCACTACCATAGTATGAAAGTCTTTGGTCGCTACGAGGTGACGGATGAGATGAACCGAATCGTCACCTATGGACACAAAGCCAGTTTCTGTCTGGAGGACAACAACTGCGATAGAAATGCAACCAAATTCTTCCACTGCAGTAACGTTATGGACACCAAAGGCAAACAAGGTAAGATTACCAGATAAAGCAATCAGCGACCTAAACCCAAACGACTTGGCATACATATTTGACAACATTCAACCCAAGAGTCGGTTTGGGGCGAGCGTACTTTTTCAACTAAGTACTGTCATACACACACCTACACTAAATTTACGTACACTCAGGGTCAACACTGGTAACGGAGGGGAAACCCCATGAATCAAAAAAGCCATGACATGGCCTGAGGCATGTGAACAAATATTAGGGCCCTGGGAAATTTATAATCTGCAGAAGACGAAGAATAATTGGGAATCTGGGAAAGAAGGAATGGAGTTTTTTTTCGGCGTAGGACTCCGACTTAAAGGCAGCCAGATGGGACCGTGTTGACAGGCTCGCTGTGGAAAGACGGAAGGGAAGTGAGCAGACACAGGTCACAACTGGTGATGTGGAGGAAGTAGACCTTGGCCACAAGAAAGGTAAGCTTTATACGAAAGCCCTTTGCGCTCCAGACCGTGATTAGACAGAATCGTATGTTTGTCTCAAACCTCGCAATCAGAGACGTACGGATTTGCCAGAAGAGTATAGGTACGAGACACCAAATATGCGTTGGTTAGATCTACCACAATGTAAACAATCCCCAGTTGTACGCGGATGAGGATTTTCTCGCAAAGTATTTTGAAACTGGGCAAATCACGCAATAGATATGGACGAACGGTCTGTTCGAATGAAGTTGAATGCGGAAGCCAGTCCTATTAGCGTGTAAAACCCGAGGCCTTGCATTGTGAAATTTTTCTCAGATTAATAAAGAACCCTGGCGTTTATTCAGAACATTTAATTGTCACAGTATTGCAGTTAAGAACTTGGCGAATAGCAGGAAGTCAAAGTTCAGTAACGAGTTAGTACGAAATAAGAATGACTGATCTGACAACTCGCATTCTATGCTGTTGGAAAACCAACTAATCTGGCAAAAAGGGGTTGCGTGGCTCAATTCTGTCGAACGGTCTACGGACGGAAGAACGTATGACATAGGAATCATCTCAGCAGACCTGAAAATCGTATTTTTAAATCCGTCCTTGGAAGAGATTGAGATGATATGGTTGGATCAGGATGTAATGTCCATACCGGCGACCCCTGAACAATCCTATTAATGGCTAGCCTCGAAATCGATATGAATGCTTGGGTTGAATCTCAACGACGTCAGCTGACTAATTGCGCGGTACTCAGGGCCACGAAGTTGGAAGCAGTCTATTTTGCATTCAGTGAATAAGTTACCCCTACTCTTAACTTACTTATTAGCCGAGAGGACGCCTAGTCACGTGCTCTGCGGACTTCTTTGTTGCTACACGAAGCATACGAGAGTGGTTGGGCTCACCAATGTGTTCCCAGTATTAACCATTTCGTCTCTAACAGAATTATAATCCTCGCATTGCAAAGTTGGAGTGCGCACCACATACTACTCCGGGAACGTTGTCATGCCTCTTGCGTTCGCGTCATGCAACCGAAGAAAACCAGAGAAATAAGTGTCTAGACCACTGGTGAGGACTTACGTATGTATGACCCGACTGCCCAGTGTATACACACTTGAGAGACTCGCCCACTGACCGCCTAGTTGCGGGAAGTGCTGATTGGTGATTATCACTGGAGGCTGCAACGTACATGTATAAACATACAAATATATTAGTAAAATCAGGGCAAGTAGATGGTAATTTTAGTTCAAAGAGCGACTAGGATGGCAATGAGAGACGAACTGTCTGCCAAATAGACTAGAAAAATACGCTTAGGTTTCTAAGGATACAGGTAGTTCGATGAGTTTGTATGATTCTATGCTCAAATGTGTTGAGAAATATGTGTTTACATAGCTAATGTAAACAAAGTGGACAAAAAAACATATTTCGGACAATCCTCACCCCATGCTTTAGAATGATTTAGACGTCTTACGAGCACAGACTACGGAAATAATAGAACACGCCGCTCTTCTTTTAATTTAATTGTGCATGTAAGTTGATCAGATTTTTGTGAATAAAACTCTCCGATTAGCGGATCGCTTTCCGGCTTTAGACAGAAGGCAGTGTTTTCATTAGACAGTGGGGTGTTGTGGAGATGCTTTGATAAAGCCGGTATTCTCCTCAACCGTCCTTTGTTGCGGGCAACACGTCGATAGCTATCATCCCATTGCTCGTGAAACTCGCCTTTCTTTACGTTGCTGACCCAAGATGGTGCTGTGCATGAAACTTGGGCGCAACAGACGATCCTGTGACATGCTTAAATATGACCTCACCAGTAACTTTATCTTGCCTAAAATTTGCTTTATCTCAATGTGGCCATTTCATCTAGACCTTAATGTTTGACGACGCTTCCATTATTTTCAATCAAGGAATAAGTCCCGGTTGTCAGGACGAGTACTTCGCAGAATACGACTGTCAGTGGGTTGACATCACCGAGGTAGCGCCTGGCAACTACACTTATCAGGTAAGCAGCTATTGCGCATTCTGTGCAAAATCACTCAAATCAGTTTGCATGAATATGAAGGAAAAGGATGCATCTCCTCGACCAGACGCCACGGCAAAGCGCGTTTACTTCCAAAAGACAATCACTCAATCGCTAGATACGTCTTGGAGGATAAGTCGGTCCACATTACCAAGTAGAATATAAACCAAGCCATTAGATCTTCTTGAGAGGCTGTAGGTCATAAGCGGAAAAACCGACATATTAGCAGAATTGCTGATCAAGGCCAGACATAAATTTTTCTAACGGTAACTGGTGGAACCGAAGAATTCTGATCTTCGCCATAAAAGTTCAAAATTGTGCTGCGTGGATCCCTGCAACGTATTTACCGATGCAAATAGGAGACGCAAGCGAACTAACAAGGAGATGGAGTCCAGGATCATTTGCCCAAGAGGGGACTTCGATACCCCCTTTTTAATTCTTTACTGGCAAAATAAGTTGCGGATCAACAAAGTCCTTCCTATCCGACCCGACTGCGAAGAAATCAACGGCCTTGGTCGGAGAGCGAGAGCAAGACTTTAACACGGCCAGCATTCGAACTAGCTGAGCTACGAGGCCCCATAAGAGCCGTAAAAGTACCTCCCACTTAGACGATTTCCCCCGTTAGCTTGGGAAACCTCTGGTCGTGGTACACTCATGCCAAGTAAAAAAACAAGCTCTATGTGAATTAAAAGCAACAGGAACTGCAGTCGTCTGTCCCTCTCACCGCCTCTTCCCCACCTGGAGCATCGGAGGGGTTCACAACACGAATGGCGGCCGAACGCCCAACATGATTCCCTTCACCAGGCTACGTTTGCGGTAGTACACGCGACGGCATCATAATTGCCGAAATTGGCCCTTGCACCCACGTTCCCCATAAATGTTTGATAACGCTCGGTCCGATGAAAATAAGGGGCTTGTTTGCCAGAGGCCACTATCTACTCTCGTTAGGTCAAAAGTTGGACAGAGGCGGAAAAGCATAATCCATTACTAAATTAGAGATTGTTGTCGTGGGATTCACAAGACTGTGCTAAATAACGAACCGCGCATCAGTAGATCTTGCAAAGCAAGTCAATTAGCTAACTGGTGGTGTGGCGACCATTTCAAGGACATTCGGGCGAGGAAAGTTGGATCTTTCCCTGGTCGAGAAAATCTCTTCGTCAAAAGTTGCGGCCAAATTTTCAGAAACAGTGAAACCCAAATATTGGCCTTAAGTCTTGTCCTGCTTGTAACTTAACTTAATGTTTTATACTATATTAAGCCCCATATCACCAAAGCTTAAGTCGCCTGCTCGAAAATGCATTATATCTGATAAAAAGGCCACGTCCGCAAATATTCATGGTTAAACCTATTCTGGCCTCCGGAAGAGGGAGGATTTGTCAGCTACAATGATAAAGCCTTGTGTCTGTGATGTCACGAACAGAACGCCCATTTCTCTCTAAAGGACTATGAAGCCACAGACCCTACTCTGTACTTTCCTGGTGAACATCATCGTCCGCGACCGTCGAACTCCCATAATGTCCTCAAAATCAAACTATTTTGTTGCACGCGTACATTCTACTGCCACCCTTAACCGGCATTCGACCACAATACCGCCCCTTGTGCATTCAATCGTCACCCACGATCTGAACGGGAGCAGAAGCCTTTGTCCGAGCATGGGCTTTGTAGACAAGCTCCATGTGGTACTGACGCATTCATGTGCTTATCTTAAATGACAAGCTTCAGACTGCCAACAAGGCTCATGAAGATAAAGATGAGGAGATATGGCTGCAGTGAAGCTTTAGAAAACATGCTTGTCCACTTTGGACGGAAAGCCGCATGATTAAACAAAAGTGAGACCTATGGAATCTCTTACTAGCAATTCCAGTCAAACGTTTCGTAGAAAACTCGAAAACTACTAGATGCAAATCTAACCTGCGCTTAGATCAATTGCCGGCGCGTCCCTGCTTGGGAGACAACTGCAGTCAATGGTGGCCTCTTGCAGACTGTCAACCAACTTTATGCGGATGATGCATCTTCACTAGATAAAAGCCTCGGTGGCTCATTTGTAGATAATGAGTGAGGACCTCCAGCCGGGTACGCTGGGCGAAGTACGTTAGTAGCCCTGTGGGCTCCGCTAACGACGGTTGGTGGGTTTTCGTCAAATCTCATTATGGATTCAACCGAGCTCAGTGCCTTCAATGGCCACAGGCTCCCCTGAGGATAGGGACCGTGCCGCCGGTTCCCGTACTATCTTTGATATATTTGTCCCAGATGACGGAAAGTCGATCTTGCCCCGCGTCCACATCCAACTAGTGTGAACGAAGTCCCAAAGGGACCTCCAGTAACCCGGACGAAGACTAAGAGAGACGCCAGTGGAAGATGGGTTATGAGGCCCTTCGGCCGTCCTACAGAGCAAATTCTACCGTGCAGCGGCTAACTACGCAGGGTCAACAAAGTCCTTAATCTTTTAGCACAATGCCCAGATATGGTCTGTCTTCTCCCTTTTTATTCATGCGTGATTTTCTTCCCAAGTCTTTGAAATGTGGTCACATCGACTTTAAAGAATTTCAAAGAGCATCTAAGAACCTTGTCTTCTATTTTAACCCAAGGTATCCTACAACCCTGATTTCTATGTTGCGGAATCCAACTACTTCAACAACGCTGTAACATGCCGCCTGGACTATCGCGGAAACTGGGCACGCTTCTACGACTGTCAGATTGTCCACCCACACGATCTGATTTGAATGTGCTGTTTTCGCTTTTAGGAACAATTAGGGCTGACGACAATGCTCATGGAAAAATAAAATACAGCAATTCTGAGCCCTTTGTCTGTGAAACGAATTTTTGGGTATCGTTACTCAGAGTGCTGTGGGCGATGGCACCAGACCGAACCTAGCCACTTTTTAATAATCAGCCAATTTAAGGCGAGACCTGGGGCACTGTTGCGACAAGCACCTAATGGAGGTGTGAAAATAACTTCCGCCACTGCTCACTGGAGTTTGTTCGTTCATCGACCGACTTATCTCGCCTAATAATGACCGTCGAGGTGCCTAACATGAAATGTCAACCATTGATCCAGTATAGTAATGGCGTACTTGTAACTATGACAGGTAGTCATGCTCGTAGTAACTAAGACGACCAGCACATATCTACGTCTCTTCAGACGATAAACCAATAAATTGCGCCAAAGAAAAGGGAGGAAAATTGATTCACACAGCGGATTTATTTAACGGATCAACTGTCAGAGCTCTGTCTTTTTTCCCACTCTGTTTTGGTGAGTGTGTTTAGGGTCAAGGCATGAATCGATTCCAATTCCTTCTTAAGCAGCCCATTGACAAGCCTACAGAGTGTTGAGTAAAACAGCATATGTACCTGTGCCGTTGGAGCAGTGGTTTGCCCTCAAAGTGATTCGAGACAATCAGGACATCGAACTTCAAACCGCAACCGTCAGAGAAGTCCTTAATTTCTAAGTGTTCTGGCTCTAAAGACTGGAGCTGAGAGCGGACGTCGCCTTCAGAGACGCCCATATTATGCACGTCTGAAAATTTAAAAACACGCAACCCCTAGTGCTGCGAAAAGGAAAGCAACGCCTGCGTGAGACTGAACCACTACATGGTGCGCCGCAACCCTAAAACCACAGATGTGACCTCTACTGATTTATATGACTGAAGCCATTCTTATGAAAAACTTACTGCTTGCGAGTTAATCATCTTAAAGATAAGTACCTGGGGATCTAGGTCAGCTAATTACGATTAAAATCACAATAAGTCGCTTTAGGAATTAGTCAATGAAAAACTCGATAACGCGCTCTACCAACGAACGGTACTGTGTGTAAGACGGATAACTTATAGTACTTTGTGTTCACAATGTAGCACAAGAGTACCTAGCATCGGTTATTAGACCGGTTTCCAAATGGACAATAAAGAGCATAATTACGACAGAATATGACGGATTTATTTTGGCACTCGGTGGTCACAGTTCTGTAGTAAATGAAGGGGAGGCGTACAGGCACAAAATCAGAGGGTCATGCTGAGGACGTATACGAGATAAAACATGAGTTGGTTTAGGGCACTTAGTGGGCGCCCTTTGCCAGTGACGAAATGACTTTAAACTGACTGTGAACCAACGGGTCCTCTCTAATTTCCTGATATACAGGCTCGTAAGTCGATTGAAAGACACGGACGATACGCTTTTCATCAAGGAAAATCGAATCTGTCGTAGCAGGCACACAGTATCGTTCCGAGATTTTTCCTCATGACATCGTTTGGAAATCGATATACTGAACGTGACCGGAAAACTCATTTTTACTGAAACGACTGCTCTCGGTCCCTGACGAGTTCCTTGTCCAACATGTTATGATGGGCACGTGATTCCGGAATGGACAGCAGTCAAGCTGTTTGGATTTCATTATTAATAGGAATGAAAAATGATTGCCAACGGATTGAGAACTAACTTGCCACTGGGTCGAAGTGATGATTGTGTTATCGTTCGACTGAGCAGTCATTTTTGCCCCTGAAATCCGAACAATAACGGAGAGGAATATATGGAAGGCAGATTACTTCAAAATGAAAGAAATACTGACTGAGATAGATTGGAACCCTGCACGTGCATCTGACGCGAACGCAACCTGGATCTACTTTAAGCAAGTGAGTCTGTACTTGGTAGAAAATTGTTGGCTGTTTGAACGGATATCGGGCATCTCCCGTGCCAAGTGGGCAACATCGAATACACAGAGGACTTTCAAGAAAAAACGGAGTCAATGGAGGCGATCGGCAAGATATCAACAATCTGGATATAAGAAACAGCGAAATAGAAGTCATAAATTCCTATAAAGAGAACGAAGAGCATTTGAGCCAAAATCACTAAAAGAAATGTCGAGGAAGCTAAGGAAGTTCTTCGTGTGCGCGAATGGGACAAAAGGCAAACTGGACTCCATTCCTTGTCTTAAGGAGTATCAGGGAAATAAGTTGGCCAAGGACTCAGATTAGACGGATATCTTTTCGGATTTCTTCACGTCCGGGAATACCGAGGAGCCATAATTTGAGGCTAATGTATTCAGTGTATTTAAGGAAAATAGGCTTGCGCCTTTCAACTCCCTACTTGTACATAAAAATCTAAGAAATTGGCAACAGCATACAGAAATTCCAGGAAAAAGTGAATGCACACATCGGTTCATAGAGGGTACTGGTTTTTATGGTAACAAAGTCACATAGTCCTTTTGTTGGTGTCTGTCAAGCCGATATTTATATGTCTCCACAGATTTAGACATTCAAATCGCCTCAGGCAGGTTATTCCACGATTCCATGACACAGTTGGAGAAAAAAACTTCCTCACATCCACTCTTCATTTTGGAACACGTAGTTTGAAGGGATGTTCCCAGAAGTTATTTGTAGTAGTGAGTTGGAAAAAGTCGTCCCACCGGAGGTCGCAGTCCAAGCCATGTACGATACGGAAAGTTTGTAGCAACTGTCCACGCAACTGCCTTTTTCTCTAATGACAGAGATTAGGGTTATTCAGGCGGGTCTAGTTGGGCGGCGTGCCTTGATTTCTTACTATTTTTGCGACTCGCCTCTGCACACTTTCGAGTAGATAGCAATCCTCCTGCATCCAGGGTCTCCAGGCCTGGATTGCATCTTCAGACTGCGGCCGCACAAACGTGCCAACGACTTTGGAAAAACATTCTTAAACGAAAACCGTGAATGTCCGCTTAATGGCGTATAGAATTGAAGTTGAGGCCTTAGCCGTTTTACACTACTGAGTAGAGGGCTTTAGGCTACCTGAAACCCATACTCCGAGACCCTTTTGAGCTGCTGTTTCTCGAAGTGGCATCCTGTTTAAACAATATTTCGGCATATCATGGATCTCATTTTGAATCCCAAATCGGAGTATGGTGCATTTGTTTATATTAAAGGTCTGTAGCCACCTGCGGAGCACCTCGTAAAATCGACGAAGACTTTTTTGAAAGTTGGTCTCCAGGTTTTAAGGTCATCTGTGAGCATGGCACAACCACAGACCAACCCCTCTACACAATCATTAATAAACAAGAGAAGAAGGGTCGGTCCGAGCACTAAGCCCTGTGGGACTCCCCTGTCTATGAATGCGCGCCTTGATTGCGGTTGCTGCACACAGACAATTAGGGGACGATCGTCGAGGGAATTCTCGATTCATTTAAGAAGTTTGCCGCCGATGTCCATGACTCTCAAATTGTGCGGGAGACGCTGGCGCGGAACACTGCCGAACGCCCTCCACAAATCGAGGTTGGACACAGGCGCAGTGTGGTTCGTATTAATTGCTCTTATCCAGCTTCGCACTGTGTTCAGCAAGTTCATCACACACGATCTTCCCCCTACGAAAGCCGTCTTGTGCAATGGACAAAAATTTGTGTGTTTTCAAATAGCCACCAACTCCCTTTTCATGATCTTGTCCATGACTTTGCGGCAGACTGATGTCATACTGACGTGTCCATAGTTCATCGAAAGAGCACGACTGTCGCCTTTGTTAAGCAGTGTAATGTGCACCGATTTCCCGCCTGTGGGAAGGATTCCAGCATCAAATGACACCTGGCACAGAAAGGATAACGCTTTGGCCAAATAATGGGAGAATTCAGAAAACAGTTTTGCGGCGATCTCGTCGGGACCGGGAGATTTGCATTGTTACGAGCTTTTTAGTTCTCCGAAAATCGCTTCTTCTCGAAATGCAATATTTCCAATACTCAGACCTTTCCTGTTTTAGCAGTAGGCGGAGAGAAAACTGTATCTCTTGTGAAAACAGACTGGAAAAACTTAGAAAAATATTACAACTGTATATGCTATCAGTTTACGGACACTGTCAAGGAAAAATAAAGCACGGATAGGGCAAACAGTAAAGAGCTCCCCTTGAATAAATACAGAGGATGGTGTGTCCCTAGTTTGGATGGTTCGGAAGAAAGAACTGTTGCCTGTGAAATAGCGTCATTTCAGAAATAGATGGATAACACTGCAGCGTATATTTTCGGTCTCCATTCCTTCTCATGGAATTGGGACTGGACCAAACAGACGGAATGAAAAACCGTCTTTCACTGATGGTTAAAGAAATTGCTCGTGAGGAGATGGGCAAGGGGATCAGAGACCACGAACTACATCAATACGGTAGATTAAATCGGCGTAGGAAACAGCACCAAAAACGGTGTTTGGACTCTGTTTTCCTCCACTCAGCAGCACACATGAGGCAAATAAAACGAACAGTCTTCCAGGCCAGGTCTAACGTACATGTTTTAAATGCGCATTGTCAAACGGAGTACTTTAGATGCTGTCGCTCTTGTGGTCCACTCTGCTCTAAAAGCATTAGACAAGGGTTGCCGCGAGTATGCGTGCGCTTTTCTTGATTACTCTTCCGCCTTCAATACCGTCCCGCGTCCTCTTCTTCTTTCCAAAACCTCCGCATGTGGCTCTCCAGGCTGGGCCGTCTCTTGGCTGAGCGATTATTTTAGCTTCCGCACCCAATTTGTCCAATCTGGCAAGCGAAAATCTTCGACCCTTCCCAATGACTGCGGTGTTCTTCAAGGTTCCATTCTATCCCCTCACCTTTTCTCCCTCCACACTGATGATCTCAGGTCCCCTAATGACTGTCTTCTGATCAAGTATGCTGACGATGTGGTTGTTGGACACCCTCTCAAAAGTCAGACACACCTCCGGTCTCTAAAGGATGGCCTAAACCATGTCCTAGCGTGGTCGGAGGAAAATGGTCTCCTAATTAACAACCAAAAATGCGTTCAGTGTATTTTTCGACTGCGGCCCTCTCCTAACCCTGATTCCTCTGACATTCTTCCTAATGAGGTATCCTCTTTCAGGTATCTCGGCGTTACTTTGTCCTCAAATCTTTCTTTTTCCCTCCATATTGAGTCCATATTTATTAAAGTTCGTAAACTCCTTTACTACATTCGTCGTTTGCGTTCCTACTACACACCTCAACCCTTAGTCTGGCGATTCATTGATGCCTGCATTCTTCCTCTTATCCTATACTGTTCTCCTGTCGTTTTTCCTGCTTTGTTAAAAAAGGATCTTTTAATTTTGAAACGAATCTTCCGCATGCTCTCTTCTGCTGCTGGCGTTTCTCATATTTTTTTAGTTGACACAATCTTACAACGACACTTCAATGCGGTCAAGCAATTTGCTGGTCGAATTCTAGATGACGTTGCCCATCCCCTACATTCCGATCTTATGGCTGCCAAGTCTTCCCGCCCGATGCGCCGCAACTTCCGTCTTATACCCTGTCGCACATCGGCTTTTCGAGCCTCTGTATTGCCATTCCTAGCGCGCTATCTTACGTGCGTAGAGACAGAAATACAGAAGCTCAGACTTGAACTATCCCCATAATAATCGTTTCTTTGACTGTTGAATAATCTCTTAACTTATTTACTACCCACACTGAATGGAGCCAATTTTTTGCTGAAAATTTTGAACTTACGATTTCAAAATAAAGCGCATTTCCTCTCTCTTCCTCTCTCTCTCTCTCTCTCTCTCTCTCATACCGCTGGTTTTGAAGTTTT